CTACACAATAACTGTTGTATCTTTACTCTAGAGACTTAGTATTATAATTAAAAAGAGGATAGATTACAATATAACAGAATGCTTGTTTTACTTTTAACTGAGTCATCCATAGATGGCAGCACCTTATAACCAAGAACTTTGTAAATAAATGATTTCTAGACATTGTTTCTTCTTTAATTCAACAGATGGCAGGAGTACAGGTAACGTGTGTGTGTGTGTATGTGTGTGTGTTTATAGCCAAGCCACATTCGGTTATCTGTTATGCTCACCGAAGGGAATCGAACCCTTGATTTTAGAGTTGTAGAGGTCACGAGTTCATTTTACCATTTCATATTTTTAGATACAAATTCTGTTTCATCCCGTAAAATTTCATGTTTGATCTGGAAGTGGGATTATATTTTTTTATCTTGAATTTCTACTTTGCAAGTGTTATTTACCTGCTTATAGACAAGTTGATACCTGAAAGTTGGCTCAGCGTCGCATGATGTTAGTCTAGTACGTTAATGGTTATATCAGCGTTGACATATATATATGTATAAAATCTACAGTGTTTGTTTCCATAAAAATATTTGAAAGTTTAGCTTGTGCTGTTTTGTCCAGGCTAATATGTAAAAGGAGATGCAACGAATCATTTGTCAAGATTTTGAATGACTCCTAGAATTGTGGGTTGCGACATAGATTGATAATAGACTTTAACTTTTAGGAAAATATGATCATAGAAAACGAACCTAGCAGATTGCGTGGTTGCAAACAAACATTATAAAGTTTTCGTTTTTATTTTTATTTACATACATAATCCTCATTTTGTTGAAGTTATGTAGTAAATTCATGACACAACTTTAAAGACAGGTTCAATGAGTCAATAGGTAATCGCTAACCAAGGACAAGGAACTGTTGGTGTTCAGCCAATAAGCATCAACTTGGCTGTTATTCAATGAAAATACCAGTAAGACAAGTTCTACATTTGATATTAACACTATACAGGTTTTACGTAAGAAATATTTTTCACATTAACTGTTCATATTTTTCTCCAAACATTACTTTTATGTATTATTATGGTGTTTGAAACAAAACATCGCCCTAAAATAACATCTTGTATAAATTCATTATCTAGATAATTACTTCTTGTATGAAAGACGGTATCTTCTTGTTTGAAAGTCTTTTCCAAATAATAAAATCACTATTGTATGAATTTTGTATCCAGATAATAACTTCTTGCATGAATGTCTTATCCAGACACTAATTTCTTGTTTAAATATCTAATCCAAACAATATCATCTTGTAAGTGAGCCGTATCTAGATAATATGTACGAAAATCTTATCCAGACAGTGACAACTTGTACAAATGTTATATCCAGATAATGAAAGTTTTATCCAGGTAATGACATCTTACATGTAAGCACAACTTCTTCTTTGTTATGCAAAGTCTGTATAGTAGTTTCTAAATTCAGGCCAAAATGTCCATCACTGTGCAAAGTGTGTAAAGTAGTTTTTTCATTTAGGCCAAAGTATCCCTCACTGTGGAAAATGTGTAGAAAGTTTCTAAATTTTGGCCTAAGAAATCCTTTGTTTTGAAAAATGTGTAAAGAACCTCTCTTTACACTGACGGACACTATTTAAGGTATATTATCACTAGTCGTCCTTAGTTTTGAGCTTATGGACGAGAGGGAAAGTAGTTAACAGCACTCAACGCCAACTCTAAGTTTTTTTGTCTGATATATTAGTGAGAATTGTCTGTTACCCTTTTGAAAGGGTTGTTTACCTATATTGTATTGGAATACGATTCAGAAACATTGAAATGCCACAAAATATTTATACAGTAAAAATGAATTTTGGGAAATTACTTCATAGTTTTGAAAATATTTATATCAATTTGAAGTTTCTTTTTGTTGTTGTTGTTTTCACTTCCTTTCGTTCTTTGGTGAATTTATAATGGCTGAAAATTAATTGTTTGCAAACCCTGAAACCAGCCTAAAGGTAACAGCTGGAAGAAGAGTTCGGTTAAAGACAAAGCGCCACCATTTGTACAGTGCAGAAAATACGCTTGAAACAAATTTAAAAGTAAATTCGATGACGAGGAACTCACTCTGAAAGATAATAAAGAAAACTTTATTACTCACTCGACCATTCCTCGAACTTTATATCTGAAAGTAATTAGACAGCATAGTAATGAAAGAAGGCAGTATCGTATGTAGTGATTAGTGAAACATTACAGTAAACGAAATAAAGTATCAGAAGACTTGAGATTAGAGGAAATAATGTTGACTCGTCCGTTCATTCTGAATGTTGGCTTATTCTATTTAAGGTAGTATTTCACTTGTAGTATTTCTGGTAATGTGTTTACGAAGGGTAAGGTATGTAGTGACCAAAGACCTTGATCTTACAGGTAACTGTGGAGGTATATAGTGACCAAGGGAGAGGGTTTTACCGGTAGCTATGTGATGTTGTCATGGTAACGCGTTTACTGAGAGTAACGTATACAGTGAAGAAGGATCCTAGTATTACAGGTAACTATGGAGCCTGTCATGGTATACCACGCGTTAATCGAGAGTAACGTGTATCAGTGAAGAAGGATCCTAGTATTACAGGTAACCATGAGAGGTTGTCATGGTGACGCGTTTACTGAGAGTAAGTATGCAGTGGCTAAAGGTTTGGGTTTTAGAAGTAATTAGGAAGGTTTGTTTCTTTGTTTTGAATTTCGAGCAAAGCTACACGAGGGCTATCTGCGATCGCTGTCCGTAATTTAGCAGTGTAAGATAGCTAGTGATCACCACCCATAGTCCACTCTTAAGCTTCTCTTTTACCAACGAATAGTGGGATTGACCGTCACACTATAACGCTCTCCGGCTGAAAGGGCGAGCATGTTTGGCTGGACAGAGATTCGAACCCTAACCACGTGACCATGCCTGGCAATTAGGAAGGATATCGTGTTTATGCTTTAGCTAAAAGTAATTTATGTAGTGACAAGTGGTTTGGGGTTTTACTGGTAACGGAAATTGACCCCGTTTTTCCTAGAAAATCTATAAGTCGGATTTATTGTCTATTTGTTTACTTGTAGGATCAGCCTACAGCTAAAACTCAGGCCTGATTTATTGAGACAAGGTGATACAGGTGAAAACTATTGATGAGTTGTTTAACAGAACAAGTTCCTTAAAAAATGAGCGAATGAAATCTGAACATATATGACGTTATTTGAATCTGAAGCATAAAGAAGTTAAATTCCAAACAGATTAACGATCAAAAGGAGAAAACTTTACTTATCATTATTCTTAATTGTTTTTTTTTATCAAGTTAATCAATCAAAACATTATTTTCATTTTTCACTGCTTTATTTATATCTAGATTTTTTGATCGAAGCCAATCTAGGCTTACATACGTGGATGAATATTTTTCACAGATTATATAGAATTAAGTTCCGGTCAAAGTTCAAGGGTGGTGAAAGATGGTTCCTTGTCAAATGTGTTAAGAATGTGGAAGTGTTACATTCGATCAGACGAATCACATCCAACATGCACGTAACAGTATACGTGTGATGTATTGTTTGATTTATTTATGCATGTTACAATTAGCGCCTTTTAATAGTCAGGTGGCGCTTCTCATATGTAGACTTTCATAAGTTGGATAACTAAACAAATAAACGATATATGAAGAATGAATTTTGAATATTTTGTCATTAAATGAGAACACACTTTTAAATCTGAAATGATTTCGTAGTGAGAACTTGAAAGTTTTATTATACGGGTAGTTTTATAGTTGGAACATAAGATATGAATCAAATACAAGAATGAAAACTTAAAAAGTCTTTAAATGATCAGGAAAAAATATTCAAACAGTTAATAACCAGTGGAGGTTGTTCTGTAATGTACTTCAACTTCAAAACCAGGATTCATAATCTTGATTATAGCATCAAGGAATGGAAGATTTATTTCATATTTACAAATAAAAATGTAATTGTTATAGTTTTTGGAACTGTTGTGACTGTTAAGAAACTGGAAAGAAAGTTAAAAATAATCTTTGCAACTACAAGATATATTTTCATATTTATTGGTGACTTTTATGAGCAGACAGATGGTTAAAGAATCAAACCGCTTTATGTGATGTAATGAAACATTATGTCTTCTGCACATCCCTATCGAACCTCTTTATGTGATATAATGAAACACAGTGATTTAAAGACATCCCTATCAAACCTCTTTATGTAACACAATGAAATACAGTTGCTTCAAAACATCACTATCAAACCTATTTATGTAACATAATGAAACACATTGGCTTCAATACTGTCCATATTATTCTAAAGCTTCTACTACTCCAGATATCTGAATAATTGTTTTCTTATATTCCAGTTTTCTGAACAGAAACTACGATTATTTAACCACCTGAATAACAAACACATAAACATCATTTCCACTTACGAATTTAAAAATCAAACTTTCTTTCTGCGATACTCTAATCAATCGTATGAATTTTGGTTTTGAAGTTGAATGAATCATCAAAAAAGCCATTACTCGTTTATGTTCATTTCAAGCTCGAGTTATAGGGTTTTTGTATTTTTGTCTCTAAGTACTTTTTGAATCTATGTATTTTCCTAACATCATGAAAGTGTAAAGGTTTGGTAACCAAAGGATATATCTTCAGTTCTCAATACGAACCGTGTTTCAATCATTTAACATTTAAAAGTTTGTTCAAGGATAAAATATTCCAAATTCCTTCTTCATTTATTTATTGTTTGTTTGTTAGACTTATGAAAGTCAGTACATCAGAAGCGCCACCTGACTATTAATAAAGGCACTATTTGGAATGTACATCAAAATAACCAAACAAGAGCATGGAGGATGTGATTTTCCTGTTCAAACGGAACGGTCCCACATTCTTAAAAGACCTGTCAATAAACAAGAAACAGGCAAAGAAGAAACACTCACTAACTTGAAACTTAGACAGAATAAACGGCTGGGTCATAAAGTCAAGGACGTTATTTCTAGATATAAACCACGAAACAAAAAATAACAAAGAACAACATTTGGTGACTGAAAAGATTATAATAATTTATTGAAACTCACGTTTTGTGAAACAGTTCCTTGTAGCAAGTATTCTAGACTGATATTGAACATAAACAGCATTGGTCATAATTAATAGTAAAATATGTATAAAACTAGTAAATACACTGTATGTTTATTAACTATGTAAGGAGTTTGTAAAACCAGGTAGTTTTACTTCAAATCAAAAAGTCTCACTGGACTCCAAAGCGACGTCTGGCTAGGGTTAAAAACTCCATAGTAAACTGACAGTGTCACATCTACGTCAAAGAAACAAAAAAAAAAAAGAAAACTTTAAAGATATCGTAAGCTTCATTAAAACAAGTTTACACAGTTACAGTACTTTAAAGGATATATAAACAAAAGTTCCTAAAAACGTCATTTTATTCGTTTCAGTGAATTTCTTTCAAAATTCAACCTAGCTCTAGAAACATGTCTTTAGTATATCGGCAATACTGATAAATGTGGGGATCGTTTCCATAACAACGGCTCTCGCTCCATTCATTCAATATATTTAAATGTACATATATATATTTATTGCTGTCATGACAACTTGAGATGCTTGATTCATTCATTCTATGTATTGTTGCCATGAAAACGCCATGTGCTCGCACCCCACTAATTGTAAATATATTTTTCACTCAGATTCTAAAATATTAAATGACGTGAATTCACTTAAGATTTAACTATACAGTTGTAATAATAATGTCTGGAAGCCAGAACGTAAAGCTTCTAGTTTATTCTCCAGATGGCGCCGCATTTCACATGAAAAATATATGTGTTTGTAAAAATCTCTCACCACTCTGTTAGTAAACCAAGCATGTTTGTAATAATCTCTCACTAGTCTGGTAGTAAACCAACCATGTTTGTAATAATCTCTCACCACTCTGGTAGTAAACCAACCATGTTTGTAATAATCTCTCACCAGTCTGGTAGTAAACCAACCATGTTTGTAATAATATCTCACCACACAAGAATAAACCAAGAATGTTTATAATAATCTCTCACCACTCTGATAGTAAAATAAACATGTTTTAGTCATCTCTTATCACTCAGGTAATATACTTTTTCATACCACTGTTGTAGAAAGCTCAAGTAATCAGTTAAAGTACATAATTAAAATTAGTTAAGAAATGTCAATATAATCATTAAAATGGAGAAATCAGAATCATTCTTAGTCTGAAATTATCACAATTTAAGTTTCAATTTATCATTTAATATTTGAAAGTATAAGTTCCGAAACACTGTTTGACGACTAGAACAAAGAAAGATGAAAAGATGGATCTTTTTATCATGACCGTTATTTACTACTATGCTTTGTTCTACTTTACCACTACATTTATTACGCAGCTTTGTTCTGTTTTACCTTTACATTTATTACTCAGTTTCGTTCTGTTTTACCATTACATTTATTACTCAGTTTCGTTCTGTTTTATCACCACAACTTTGCATGTAAACATAGATGTTTATGTGTCTCTGTGTCACTCATAACTATTTTCAGAAATTCTTTGTAGTTAATCTAATGTTTGTAACTTCAATATTTCTACTTTAAATATACATTCTATTCGTGCAGATGTCTTACCTGCAAGTCCGTGTGTTAAAATAGAGCCCTGTTGAACACTTAGAATAGTTCTTACATTTACACTCGCAGACCTCGGAGTCCCAGATTTGGTCCTTATGACAGCTGCCAGATCTATGTTGATTTTTACAAACGCAACGGCATTCGTCTTCCTTATAAATCTGTTGGCTCGAACAGTCTGAAGCTTTCTCCTTACATTGAAACGAACACTTTTCATGCTCCTCGAGCTTAACTGTTTCGTGACTCTGGAAATCAAACTTTTCACTTCCTGATTCAGAATATTTGGCCTTCAGTACCTATTGAAAGAGTAAAATAAGATGTAAAAGGCCATAGAAATAACGACGTTTCTAATTATCTAAACGTGAAAAGGCTAGAGGAAATGAATATTTAAATCCTTCAATAACAAGAAACAACAATGTTCGCGGAATGTTGACGATTGAACACTTGTTTTATTATCAAACTTTGAACGAGTAAACAAGAAATAAACTCATTGTAGTTTGATGCAAATTTTGTAGGTAAAATATGAAAGAAAGATTTCCTTTAACATCTGTAAACACCACGAAAAATCACTAAATATTTAACAAGTCTACATAAGTTCGATCTGCTGGGTGAAGCAAGTGGAAACGTTTCATCGAGTTAACAGAGAAATACAACTGAAACCGTGTAAACACCATTCAGTCACAGCAGTTTTATTTAACACAACTGAAACCCTGTAAACATAATTCATTCACAGCAGTTTTACTAAATACAACTCAAACCGTGTAAATACCGTTCAACCACAGTAGTTTTATTTAACACGACAGGAACCATGTAAATGTCATTCATTCACACCAGATCTACTTACCATAGCTTAAACCGTGTAAACATCATTCATATTTATGAGTTCGGGGGAGGAAAAAGAAACGTTTCACGAAAAGAAGAACGGGATTAAAGGTTTTTGAAATTATGCAACAGACAATCACTTGACTACATACCAACAGCATGTGAACTTTAGCTGTTACAATCTCTGACCATATGGCAACAACATATGGACTTTAACTGTTATTCAGGGATCTGCTACAACAGAGCAAGGAAGATACAAACCGTTATTGAAACCGTCTTAATCTTCGTCGGAACACAGGTGAGTAAGGAGCTTGTAGAACAGCCACTACATCTTTTAAGTCTTATGCACCGAGGCCAGGTCACCAGCAACGGGTCAAAAGACTTGGGAAGCTCAACTATCTCAGGGTGTGGTTCGCAGACTGCGGGTGGAGCTAAATAATCCAAATAAATAGAACTTTGTAAGTCGTAAACCTTCGACCATATAAAATATACCAGATGTTCGCTTTGTCCATAATTACACACTATATCCGATACACAACTAGACACAACTATTCGTTAATGTTACCACTATATCCAATACACAACTAGAGATAACTATCCATTAATGTAGCCACTATATCCAATACACAACTAGAGATAACTATCCATTAATGTAGCCACTATATCCAATACACTACTGGACACGACTATCCGTTAATGTAACCACTATATCCAATACACAACTAGAGATAACTATCCGTTAATGTAGCCACTATATCCAATACACTACTGAACACGACTATCCATTAATGTTACCATTATATCCAATACACAACTAGACACAACTATCCATTAATGTTACCATTATATGCAATACACAACTAGAAACAACTATCCATTAATGTAACCACTATATCCAATACACAACTTGAAACAACTATCCATTAATGTAACCACTATATCCGATACACTACTGGACACGACTATCCATTAATGTAACCATTATATCCAATACACAACTAGAAACAACTATCCATTAATGTAACCACTATGTTCGATACACAACTAGACACAACTATCTAATAATGTGACCACTATAGCTAATACAAAACTAGACATAACTATCCATTAACATTGCCACTATATACAATACACAACTATTCATTAATGTTACCACTATTTCCAAAACATAACTAGAGAAGACTATCCATTAATGTTAATACTTCTCAACTTAGTCACCATACTTACTATATCCCTATGGAAAAATCAAATTTGGCTATTATATCACTGTTATAATATTACATTATATTAGCATATTTATACTGTACACTGTATGCTTTACTACTATATACCTATTATAATGTTACTGTAAGGTTTTATGTAGGTATGGCCCGGAATCTTTACCGTAGGTGTCTGTGAGTTATTGGTGATAAATAAAGAACACCCAGTTCACTTGTTTTAAAATATTATACTAAAATAAGTTAAACATATACACAAATGTCCGTTACACTGTTGGTTACTACACTTGTATCCAGAGCTTTAAGTAATTGGCACACATGTTTGTTCGGTTACGTTAGAACACGCTTAACAAGACGATTTATTTCGTCTCTACTCTGTTATAAAAATACGATTGGTGATAAGTTCACTTTAGAAATCGTCACTATACACTCTTTATACTTAAACTCACAATCACGCAGTCTAGATTTATTTCTGTCTATCTAGCTTTGTCTAACTTATCTTGAACTACATTTTGTACGAGTATTTATATCCTGACCAAGTCTTAGAACTTGTACATATACGAGATTATATGATGCAATAATACTCAATTAAAACAATGATTAAAGGCTATCTAAATCGTAACACTTGCATTGTACATAAATATCCGTGTATATATAACAATTACATTATACTAGTATATCACTATAGAAATATTGCACTGTGTTACTATATCACTATAGAAATATTACACAGTGTTACTATATCACTATAGAAATATTATACTGTGTTACTATATCACTATAGAAATATTACACTGTCTTACTATATAACTATAGAAATATTACACTGTCTTACTATATCACTATTGTAATATTACACTGTCTTACTATATCACTATTGTAATATTAAATATCACCATATTGTACTATACTCCTACAGCTTTAACTATACCCCTACTCACCATATAATAGCTTCAAAGGTGACGTAAATGTAGTGTTGAACAAAAACCCAAATTACAATAATTTAACATTATAATGTTTGTTTTAAATATGTTCAAATTCTCAAATTAAATACAAAAGCTAATAATACAGAATCTCATTCGACGAAAATTGTGCTTATTTTCTTATTAATTTCGTCCTTTATGATGTCCATTTAATCCAAAGTTTTAGATTTGTTAACCTACGTACTAGGTAGTTACGTATCACGTCAAGGGTGACATCATTCTAATATGGTGTTAAAGTTCACCAGAATAAAATAACTTAATGAATAACTCACTTGGCGTGTTGCTGTGTCCATGTCTTCCTAGAAAATTTAAAAGAAAAATCTGTTTCTAGTAAATAATATTTTATTTCCAATATTTAAAACACACAAAGAATTAATAAATACACCCAGGTTTTTAACGCCCAGGATATTTTGAGAATCAGTTTAAACAATGCTAACAGCACAGTTTTCGTTATGAAACACATTAGAACGTATTGTTTACAGTTTTATTGTTAAAATATTTCAACGTATTTAGGATAAAATAAAAATCTCTTAAACTGTCGTAAAATGTTTTTTCTTCACAATCCTCTTAGATTATCCATTTCGGAGTGAAAGTCAGAGGTGTGTAAAAATAGTATTTCATATATTTTGTCTCCTATAACTTACTGTTTAAATGGCATTTCGTTCAATACGACACTATTCAGTTCAGCTGGATGACGAGAGATAAAAAGTATCTGAAACGCTGTATCAATACGGAGTATAATATTTTAAAAAGATAGCTTGTATTCCATACGTTGGAGAATATTATATACCAAAAGACCTCTGATTTTGAATCCGAAATGGACAAATTAAATGGAATCTTGAAAACAAAATATGTAGTTTTAGTTATTTTTGTATCAAATGTTAGGCTTAGTTCGCTATCTTTCGGCGTTTAAACTGTCCATACTGTCTACCAACAAAGTGTTTACATGAAGGATATCAATTCACCGCATCTTTGGAGTTTGTTTGGAATCATCTTGGTGAAGAAACTCGGAAAGTCAACTCTAAACCCTTGTTGATTCGAAATAATAAAAGAATGTGGAAATATAATGGTATTATAAAATAGTATTATGTGCTGTGGCTTTCCTCATGTATTAGTCAATTTTACTATAAAAACAAAACTATAAAAATTATCCTTAAATGTAAACTTTACTTGAATGCTGTACATGAATCATCAACACTGTTAATGGCTAATAATTCTGGGTTTTTAAAAATTAAATTTGAACCAATAGTAAAAATTTCAATTACCATAGATGTAAGGAACGTTCGTCAAAAAGTCATTCATGAATTGAGTGAAATTCTTAACACTGCTCATTCTGATGAGTAAAGATTCTGGAATCTGAAACACGAGAGAAAGTTATAAGTGTTGTAGTCAGTGCGTCACTTCAAAGAATATTCTAGATTACATTGTAAATGTTGGCTAAGTGTTGGCGGTGTATCCTTTTAATCAGACATCCCCTCTGTCGTCTATCAGTTCCTAATTAGAGACAGATTAGTGCAATTAGCTATTTGTTAGCTCTGTGCGAAGATTTTAATATAAACAAACAAATGTTCAAAAAACCTATTTTATTTGGTTACAGTGTACGTTTTAACTCTACTATTACCTACAGGGTCCACATTAGACTTATCATCTTTATAAACATAGTTGTTTAACGGGATCCATAGCACACCCAATAAATGATACAAACTAACATCAATATTGACATTAGTAACATTAATCCATGCTGCTGGAGTTACCTGTGTAATGAGTGTTGTAAGAAGCAAAAAATCATGACCGTTAGTGAAGACAATATAAAGTTGTAGGGAAGTGTAAGAGTAAGATGATGATTAGAACTAAGAAAAATATTATGTTTTATACGCATAATTTATGTCTTGTTAAAGGCCTGTTCTCTTGGCCTGTGTACAAGGAAATCTATAAATCTAGAATGGAGAATGTGAATTAGAAGATGAAAAACTTGCACATTTTAATGTTTGACTTTCTAATAACTTGAAAATACAGTTGTTGGAAGTACGTGTTTTACGTCACTGTATAGATGCGTGATATTACCTTCCAATAACAGGTAACATCACCAAATACAAGGATGTTGCTGCGTCTTAAAGGAACAGGTTTCTCTCTTTTTTTTTCAGTTCTCTAATTTCTCTTCAATTTGGCAACGTATTCTCGAAGTAGATCTTACGTCATTCTTCGTTACTTATACCAGTAAAAACGAACACGTGGTAAATAAAAGTGTTTTTGAAACGCATGATCCAAATACTATCATACAGCTCGTGGTGATAGCGCTCTTGTTGATTTACGGGCAACAATCCTGCAGACGTCACTGTGAGATGGAGGTTTAGTTGTTCTTCAATGTTTTTGAATTGTAAGTTATCTATTTTGTAAGGTTTGAAAAGGTATCTATTAGAGGAGATATTGATTACATACGGCTGGCATTGTATCTGTTGCAGTAGACGAAGTTTGCGAAGGTTGGTATCGTGTCTATTACAGGCGCTATAGATTACATACGGTTGATATCTTATATGTAGCAGGAGATGAGATTTATTAAGCTGTGTATCGTGTCTGTTACAGGAGAAAATTACGTGAGTTGGCATGGTTGTAAGTTAAAGTGAAAGTTTCTTATTTCAATGTCTTCTTTTCAGATGTTATCTTATGCCTCCCTTAGATATCTAGAGACATAGTTTAGGAGTAATTAGGAAGTTGCTGAAGATGCTCAGAGAAATTATTTGTTTTATGTATTAATTAAGATATATCTGTTCTATTGATTTGAACAGTTAGTCTAGCCTCGTTTATATTGGAACAAATATTGGTTAAATTCGATCCTTATCTTGAACATTTCACACAGAACACAAATCGACTTTCATAAACACTAGATACATTTATCAAAATTAATCAACTTTTGTGGAAAACCGGTGGTCGGCTCACCTGTGACTGTGCAGTGTTTATCATGTAATTTGAACGTTACAAGAGATTAGAAACTGGTTGTATACTTCCATTCGTTTGTAATTGGTTGTAAGATGAATCAGTAACTCACATCATCTTGTATTTTTGTCTGGACCACATGAAGGGTGTTAGAAAAGTAAAACAATATTTTCGCTAAACACATCAAAACAACACTTATTTTAAAAGTCAGGATTACACTGTGACCTTAGGCATTCCAGTTAAGAAATATCTGATGTAAGCTACCCTAAATACAAGGTTTTAACTACCTTGACAACTATATCCCAGGCCTTAACTTCTTTGACACCTAGATACCAGGCCTGAACTACCGTGACAACTATATCCCAGGCCTTAACTACCTTCACAACTAGATCCAAGGCCTTAACTTCCTTGACACCTAAATACCAGGCCTGAACTACCTTGACAACTGGATCACAGGCCTTAACTTCATTGACACTTATATACCAGGCCTGAACTACCGTGACACCTAGATACCAGGTTTAAACTACCTTCACAACAAGATCCAAGGCCTTAACTTCTTTGACACCTAAATACCAGGCCTGAACTACCTTGACAACTGGATCACAGGCCTTAACTTCCTTGACACCTATACACCAGGCCTGAACTACCGTGACACCTAGATACCAGGTCTAAACTACCTTCACAACTGGATACAAGGCCTTAACTTCCTTGACACCTAGATACCAGGCCTGAACTACCCTGCCATCTAGATACCAGGTTTGAGCTACGTTGACACCCAGATACCAGGCATTAAATACCTTAGCACCGAGATGCCAGATCTGAACTACCCTGACATATAAATACCAGATTTGAGCTAACTTGACACCACGATACCAGGCCTAAACTACCTTGACAACTATATACCAAGCCTGAACTACCATGACATTTAGATACCAGGTTTGAGCTACCTTGACACCTAAATACCATGCCTTAGCTACCCTTAGATCTAATGATGTCTGGATAGCGTGTCAACGCATCATTATAGTTTATCCCTTATTTAGACCTTGAGATGAGATAAACTGTCGTCAAACTTAGGAGGAAGGGGGTGGGGGAGTCACTGTTCATCCCAAACTTTCTACACTTTCCAACATACAATCACAAAGATATGAAAACTACTCCATAAAGTTGCTTACCGTTAAATCGTTTGATGTTAATGGATTTCCGGATATTTCAACCGAATCTGGGAATAAAACGACGTCGTAGTCATCAGCGTAAACGTTGATGAAAGTGGCGGTAAGCAGCACAAGCAACACTATGAGATACATGAATGTTTTGTTGCAGACTGGGGTGTGTATATGTCTCAGCTTATCCTAAATACGCGTTATTGCTGTAGAAACGCGTCCTCCTCGCGTTTAATTAACTTAATGTTCAAAGAAACAACGTCAGTAACAAGAGGTCGCGTTCGTATCTATGTAGATTCAGCTTCTTATTCTTGTTTTCTGAGCGCTTTCTCTCTCGTTTATATATATCATATGCAACCGTTTAACTAGTCCACGTGCTCCTTGAATCGGACCAGTAGTGAATTGCGTCACGTTTATCACGGAAATTGTGCCTTTAAAAGTGTCACGCGTATCATATAACTTATACAATGAAAAATATATTTTTTCGAACGTTTCAAAGATGAAAATCGTGATGCAAATTGCGTGGGAAGAGGAAATATAGGGTTAATAGTTATGCAACTTTCTCCAAGCTGGATATATTTACACATGATTAACGATACTATTGGTTTACTATACTGTAGAGTCTGTCGTTTGTTTTCCTAACTTTACTCAACAAAACTAATATTGATATAATATATAATATGTTGTCCATATTCTCAAGTTTACTCTACAAAACTGATATTATGTTTTATGACATCATACAGTTCTACATATGTTGGTATAATATGTTATATAATCTGTTGATTTTGCTCTAAAAAAACGAGTTCACGTATTCTTTGTTTCTATTTAACTTTATTCTTCTTCTGTTGCTTGTGAAACTTCATTTATACTTTATGTTGAGAAACAGTTTAGTGTTATCTTAAAGATATTGTTAATTATTGTATATTTTTATTTCTCTGTTATGATATAAAACGTGTTTTCGCTGAAGTACCTACTTTCATGAGATGTACTATAGGTTGGACAATAACGTGGTTAGATTTAGATAAGTTTGAAAACACTTTAGTTGCTGAGTTTTAATATCTATAATTTATTGTTACTTTACCTTACAAGTAGTTATTTTAATTTTAAATGAAACTATACTAAGAAAGGGAGAATATAAACGTGTTACTTTTACTTCGACGAGTAAAATCCCAGTTAACCAGCTACAGTGTATGATATATGCAATAAGGAGGCTTGTAGTTGTTTTACAGAATATATAATAACAAAAACAAATTAGTGCACAGAGCTAACAATTCAAACACACAATACCCAACAACAGAGACAAAATCCACCCACTAAATCTTTCAAAATAGTGAAATTAAAGTTTGAAGGTGTTAAGAAAAGGGATTTTCAAATATTTGATTCAGAAAATCGAAAAGATTATTCATCTCGTATGTTATGTTTATATCATGTGGACGTTCATATAAAGAGAGAAATCACAATGAAAATAATTAAAATACAAATTTCAGTCTATTTATTTAAATAACAGCTTTTATCACTTCTTGTTTATTGTTAAGGGCAAAGCTACAGAATGGGCTATCTGTGCTGTGCCCACCATGGGTATTGAAAACAGGTTTTTTTAGCATTGAGTGAGCTTAGTTTTTGCCAGAATTATTAAATGTCTATTTTTGTTCAACGACAATTTCGAAGGAAACAAAACCACTGTAGATATATTTCTGAACTTAAACGTAGCCACATCCGTCAAGTTTCCCTATCAATCACACTTCCTGGATGTGACTAACACGTTTTTTAAAATTGTCGTCATTTTAAATTCTAATTATTTCATTTCATTTCTAACTTTTAGTTATGGGTGATTCACTGATATCTTCAACAGAAAGGAAGTACGCGTTAAAACGTCGTTGTATATACGTGAATGGGTGGCACTAATACTTCTAATTACTTTGTCAACTTTACATATAAAGTAGTGTTGTCCGTTTGTTTGCTGTCACAAGTTGTTGTCAGAAAGTGGCTCAACCAATTTAAATGGCATTTCGTGACGAAACTCGGGATACACCGAAAGATAGACTTGAAATGGATAAGCAACCAGATGAATGGTCCGAAATAGTGTAAGAGAACCCACTCCCCCATTCATGGTATATTTTATTAAGATCGGGATTATCATGCTTCTATGATAGTACATAGGGATTGTCTTGAGGTTCCATATATAACTATACGTGTGAAAATATACAGATTTATACGTTTATAATGATGTAAAACTCTGATATTTCTTGGAAATACATACTATGATGAATGACTATATAATCGAGAATAACATTATATAATATTTTTGGACAACATGGGACCTATTGGTCCACCTCGGCTGTCTCATTCTTTAAACTAAAGTATCAAACAAATAGATTAAAGAAATAAATAAATATGAATATTAAAGCCAGCCCATAAAATTCATATACTTATCAAGCTTTATCTTAAACTCATTAAATTTATTTATTAAGATGATGCATTGTCAAAACCTATGTAGTTATAAATAGTGATAATAAATATGCAATTACAAAACTTGAGCTTAACATCATCATGTGTAGATGGGCGAAAGTTGTCACGAAAACACAAAATAAGTGAAAATATCTTAAAACACACATGTATAAATGTGTGTGTGTGTGTACAGTTGTTTTGTCGACAAGTAAAATGATTGTATGTCTTATATTTGCGAGTTTTTGGATTATATTTTGGATATAGATAGGTATGTGGATAGATAGATAGACAAACAAGATGTTAGGAAAACACATAGGTTCAAAGGATAAAGACAAAAATAAGAAACTGTAACCCGAACGCTTTCCAGAGATAGATGTTTCGAAAGCGGTCTAATTATAGGGAATCTTATTTTAATATATTATATATATATAAATGAAATTCGTATTTACTTAATGGTCACTAGAGTGATCTATTAAACACCTTGAATAATTTAAAATACATTAATGAAACGAGAGGAAATGAGTTTCAAAAGTAATAATTTCTTGATCTTTTCTAAGTCATGCTACAATATCCGGTCATGTGACCTCTTTGTTCCATACTGTATATATATATATATATATCTGTGTTAGTGTAAACTACTTGTACCTGATGATGACAAAACTTTGTCGAAACGTTGTACATTTGCTGTTATGTTAAACTTATATTAAAGTTTTTCTTCATTACCCATTCAAGCCGCCTCCAAGCATTATTGGTCTCAAAGTGGGTTCCTTGTCATCGAAAGAGTATCTCATGATATTAACGATAGAGGGCCCATACTGTACCTTTAAGCGAAAACGATGGTGTGTATTTATAGATATATATATTTAAGCGGGAACCGTAGTGTGTATTTATATATATATATATATATGTAAATTTATCCAACAAAGACTCACAGCAGTAATTGCTGCCAAAGGTTCTTTCATCAAGTACTGACTTAGGGGGCTGAATACTTATGCAATTAGCAAATATCAATTTATATATCTGCTTTGCAGCTTTTGCTGACATTTAACTTCCTTCACACATAACAGTGTTAAGTTTGATCATTAGAGTTTTGAATAAAACAAATCCATAAAAATATTTTTACATTATTTGTATTTCCTCAAAATGTGACTTTATTGGTGTGAGGGGTGAATTCCTTTCTAAGACACTGTAAATAGCAGGAAGCTGTTCTTGAAAACAAACACATTCCTAGTAATAATTAAGAATGAAATTAGTGTATCAGTTACACAAAAAAAGTTAATTACGGTCTTGTCATCAACGTTTCCAAAGTTCATTAATAAAAGTAACGATTTGTGTCGACAGATGGCGGTTTCTACCAGCTTTGCACAATGGGGTGGTGCAATTTTGTCCATTATATCTGGCAAAATTGTTCCAATTCTGACAAGTTCGTTGGGGGATCATTGATGGACTGCAATCTTCAAGTTTCGCCATAAATTTTCCATTGGATTCAAGTAGGGATTTTGACTTGGCCACTTCAAGACATTCATTTTCTTCCTTTGAAACCACAGCAGTGTGGACTGGGACTTGTGCTTCGGGTCATTGTTCTTCTGAAATAGGAATTTTCAAACCAGTTTTATGTTCTTGGCAGACTCAAGCTGGTTTTCCACTAGGATTCGCCTCTACTTTGCACCATCCATGTTCTCCTAAGTCCTGATAAACTTCTCTTTCCCTGCTGATGAGAAGTATCCCCATAACACGATGCTGTCACCACCATACTTAACAGTCTGTATGGTGTTAACTGGATGATGTGCTCTGTTGGGATTGCGTTTGACGTAATGCTTTGAATTTAGACCAAAAAGCTCAATTTTTGGGCTCGTCTGACCACAAAACCTTTCGTTACATTTCTGCAGTATAATTTAGATGTTTTGTCGCAAACTTCATACGAGATATGAGACCATTCTTTTTCAGTAATGGCTTTTTTCTTGCCACTCTTGTGTAGGGACCGTGATATTGTCAATATGTGAACCGCGACTCTCGTCTCAGATATGGAACCTTCAAAATCTTTCAAAGTCACTCTTGGCTTCATAGTGGCATCCCTAACCAGTTTCCTGCTTGCTCGGCTGCTTGTTTTGGAAGGACGGCCTTATCTAGGTTGTGAGTGGGTGGTACGAAACACATTCCACCTCTTAATTATGGACTTCACCATAATCAAAGAAATAATTAGCAGAAATAATTTTATTGTAACCTGATGTCTGCTTCTGTACCATTTTATCCCTGACTTGTTTGATAAGCTTCTTGGTCTTCATGGTTAGTTTGTCGTATCACTATGTTGCTTTCTTGCTTTTTTTTGTCAATTTGTAGTAGACCGTGTAGATTCTACATATAAAGTCCCATTTGGAGGTGTCATGACTCAAAGCTCAGACGGAAACAACATGTGGAAACTTTGCAGGTAGGATGAATACTTTTGCAATGCACTGCAACTATTCACATTCATTGTCTTCACACTAATGTCTAAATAGTGTTTCACATCTATTATTAACACATTAAGTTGACAATGGATAAAAACATGCCATATCCAGCTGAGTATAATACTTTTCAGTTCTTATTAATAAACTAATTTGTTTCTAAGGAACTGAAAATTTTCAACCTAATACAGTCATTCCTAACTTACACTATTGATCAGAGAGCACGTGGCCTCTGGATAGAGTAACGATTCACTGACGGCTCAGTTAAGACGTTAGTGATGTTGCATTGAATAAGGAGGTCATTTCTCTACGGACGTGAGTTACGAAGTGATGTGTTGCTTGGTCTCTCTCATACATGTCCTAAATGCCTCATCTGCAATTCTCTGGTTATTATTGGATAACAGTTAAAAGAGTTACTAAGCTGAGATAGTTCATCATCATAAAAGAAACAAGTGCAAGGGGGAACTGCCTCCAACACAAGTTCCATTTCTATTAGGAGAAAAGCATGAAATCACACAACAGTTGGAATGACATTGTTGCAAACCCTAATATTGTGTCTAGTCACTGCCCATTGTTTACTATTGATATCAGAAACCAATACAGTGTTATTTATCATCATCAGAATGTATAATTATTGAAAGTACTGAAAATAAGTTATTCTTGAAAGGAATGAGAATATTAGTTTAAAATACGGTTTTAATGTACTTCTAAAATTAGATACTTTATTCTTTATTTTATTAGCTAATTCATCTCAGACACTGGCCACTATCTGTTATGTACTGAAAGTAATTTAAACATTCAGATGACCACTAATCTCGATTGATTTGGTTTGTTTTATTTTGAAGTTAGCGCAAAACTACTCGAGGGTTATCTGTATTAGCCATTCATAATTTAGCAGCGATAGGCTAGAGGAAAGGTAGTTAATAAACACCTCCCACCGTCAACACTTGGGCTACTATTTTACCGATGAATATTGGGGTTGACCATTACATTATAATGCATCCATGGTTGAAAAGGCGATCATGTTTGGTGACAGGGATTCAACCCTATTACCTGCAGATTGTGCCCTAGCCACCAGGTCTGGGAATCTCGAAAACGCAATACTTCTCTAGTAATTGTAATTTGACACATGGTCTCTCCCTCAAACAAAGGTTTCTCAGTGGCAGTGATTGGATGTAAAATATCCATGATTTAACTGCACGTGCAATGTTCCCAGATGTTCAACATGTAAACTGTGCAGCCACTATAGATACAATCATGATTGATCTTCTGACAGTCCTTGTTGAGGTAAATCTATTAATCAAGTCCAAATGTACAGTGGCGGCACCGACAAAAATAGGTTTGCATCTGACATCCAGTAGTGATAGTAGCAATAGCCTTGCGCCAGATCAGAAGTTGAAGAACAAAGTATACAATCTCACAAATATAATGAAGAAAGATCGCATAATGTGATTTGAGAATCAAAAAATAAATAATCCCTATTCGTGTATTTAACCATTGAAAAATATTACCATCATATGGAAAGCATATTTTGGATACAACAGATTACGGACTTTCCAACGGTGTATGGAACGCCTCCAAGAAGCATTTAATGAAAGCTTTTGTTCTTTGCCATGCCACCTAAACCACCTCTTTGCTTCTGATCCTGTGTTAAAATATCCAGTTAATTCCAACTATGACTATTTCGTGCTCAATATTAATTTGTTGCTATGGTGATTTCATCGTAGAAAACAAGAAATTCCTTTACTGTGTTTTTTAAATAATAAATTTCTTCCAACGACTCATCAAATTGAGATTTCACATTTCTTTCTTGAGAGAGAGTAAACAAGTAAACACATTCTTATAAACTTTAGAGGTAACAATTAAATAAAGTGTTATTTAGTACAAATAATTGTGATTATAATTTAAAATATTCTCGAATGGAGGAAACTTTGTTTTTTTCAAACCTGGGAAAGTTTTATAATATTTAGCTCTCAGATAAATTATTCATAAAATACACAAAAGATCTGTATAGTTCTTTATATAATTAAACAACATTCGTCCTTTTACACAAAATATACAGGTACAGACATCAGTAAAAAAGAGCATAAACAAAAACTCGTATAGTTCCTTTACAAAATAATAGATGGCGAGACCATAACATTATCTAAAGGGGTACATAACGTTCAGTACTACAATAAATGTCGGTTGCTATAACAAACAGGACTCAGTTGTGGCTTTTACTACCAAAAGTTAATATGGATGTAATGAAAGCGAGTATAATAAATTGAAGCTTTACGTAATACACCAAAAATTGAGTGTTAACATATATATCACATGTTTATGTAATGTTATACAGTTCGTTTTTGAAATGTAACGTATATATATCACATGTTTCTATATTGTATTACAGTACGTTTTGAAATGTATCATATATATCACATATTTCCATCGTGGTATATTGTACGTTTTTTAAATGTAACATATGTATCACATGTTTCTATCGCATATTGCAGTACGTTGTTGAGATGTAACATACACAATTCTACCAAAAGTGAAGGCACACATCTTTGATTACAGGAAAATGAGTGTGACGACGAAATATGACAGTAGTGTGGCCTATAAAGGTGATCAGCGGTTCGCTCGGAAGTCATTTAGAACTTGTTCGCCTAACGACGAGTAGATGGAAAGAACTAACAGAGTTTCACAGGAGAAGGATAGTTAGATGTCATTTGTGGATAATATCTATACGTACTATTGTGCAACAATTAAACATTCCCAAGTTGACAATTGGCAACGTGCTGAAGAAATGGAAGTCCACAGGTGACAATGAGTCCAAGAAACGACCAGGTAGGCGTAATATACTGACTGAAAGTAGATGACGTGCCTTAGAAGACCGGTTACCTCATCTCGCCGTCAGACCCCAGAGAATTTCTGTTTCGAGATAAGAGCATCCACAGGCAATCCTATTAGTGTTTTTACGACACGTCGAGAGCTGCATGTCATGAATTTTCATGGAAGAGATGCAGGCCAGGAGCCGTTGATAACAGAAACAAATGCACACCATCGATTAGCATAGGGCAGGGCACACAGAACCTGGACCGAGAATCACTGGAAATCGGTCCTGTGTAACGAAGAGTCACGCTACACGTTCTTCCAGTCTACTGTACGTGATTGGGTATGGAGGATCCCTGGAGAACTCATATTACCTGAGTGTGTAGTTCCAACAGGGAAGTTTGGAGGTTGTGATATCATGGTCTGGGGTGCTTTTTGTGGTATGGACTAGGTCCATTGGTTGTAGTGCATGGATCTATGAATACTGAGTCCTACATTCATGTTCTGAATAATTCTGTGTGTGTCCTATTTTTGTGGCAATTTTATGGTACCGGCATTTAAACCTTCCAACATGATAATGATAAGGATTGTGAACACATGATTTGAAGAGAATATCATCGGAACATCTAAGTAGCCAGCACAGTGCCCTAACCTTAACCCGATAGAACATCTCAGTAGCCAGCACAGTGCCCTAACCTTAACCCGATAGAACATCTTTAGGATGAACTGGAACGCATAATTAGGGCAAGGTCAGACGGCCCTCTTCAGCAGTGGAGCTTACTAATGTTTGAAAGGAGGAGTGGGGTACAATATCACCAGCTTTCTAACAGAAATTAGTAGAGAATATTCCACGACGCATTGAAGCAGTCATTAAAGACAAAGGCAGGCCAACACGCTATTAATTTCTTGGAATAAAGACATATTTTATTCATAACTACCTGTGTCTCATGACTTTGGGTAGGATAGTATATAAGACGTTTCTACAGTATGTTTTTGAAATGTAATATATATATATATCACATGCTTCTATCGAGTATCACAATTCTTTCTTCAAACGTAACATATATATCACATGTTTCTATCATGTATTACAGTACGTTTTTCATATCTAACATATATATCACATGTTTCTCTCATGTATCACAGTATATTATTGAAATGTAACATGTATATCACATGTTTCTATCGTGCATCACACTACGTTTTTGAAATACATCGACAGTTTGCGTCAGAACGCCGTACAAAGAAGTGATGTTCTAGTTCAAGTAAGGCCCAAGACACGAGGAACTCTGTAGCAAACCACAGTGGTCAAGATGTCAACACATGCACTTGATAAGCACCACGAAGAGAATAGGGATAGGATAAGGTGGCCAAGATGTGGGAGTCAAAGGAATGGGGTGATCTAGTTTAGTATGTTAGTGATGTTCTCAGACCAATTATTAGTGAAAGAATACAAAGTTGGTAAGGTTAGGCTTCGTATGGTGTTGAAAGAATCAACGGATAAGGCTATCAATGAATATTGCCCTAATCTCAACACAGGCAGGAAGTGGGATGTAGACAAATGGGTTGCAGATATGGAATATAGGCTAGCAATGAAGAAGATTGTAGAAGCAGTGCAAATAGTTAGGAGGGGTTTGGGTAAGGTGGATGAACGTAGAAAAATGGTAACAGAGGAAATAAGGAAGATCAAAGAAGAAATAAGCCAGATCATTGGACTTGTTGGAAACATCTCGCAGATTGACAATTGATGTATGGAGACATCTAGCAGATTGAGTCATCTAGGCAGCTCTTTTTGCCCAAGGCAGTGTATGACCAATTTCCTACTCCAAATAATTTTAGTTAGAAAGAAAGGTTGAGAAGTGTCCATAGTGTTCATCTATGGTAATGCTGGAACACGTTCTTGCAAGATGTGGGCAGAGACTTGTTAGATACATATGGAGGCACAATTAGGTCTTTAAAATTCTAAAACGTTACACTATTATGGCTTGTGAGGACGCAGAAGAATGTGTAATTGATAGAGAATATGGAAGTATAGAGTTTGTGAAAGAAGGGACGATTTTGAGTACGACAGAAATTATCGAGTTAAGAAGGGGTCTTATATCTGGTGTTAAATGGTGCTTAAATATGGTATTAAAGGGGACTTACATCTGGTGTTAAGTGGTGTTTACATCTGGTATTAAGGGGAGCTATGCACTGACCTTACATCACAATTATCGAATCCTTCTAAGATTATGTTAACTGAACAATGATCGGATATGGTGAAATGGAGCTAAGAAATTAAGAATGTGTTAACAACTGACTATATGAGAGAAAGTTGCTCAGGTATGAAGAGTTTATTGGAAGTGTTGTGTTAAATGCTGTGGCTGTGACATGCCTGCAGTGGAAGTATGATGTATGTAGAGGATGTGCAGGTCACTCTACAGTATATTTCTTGAGGAGTCTGAATAATGAAGTAATGCCTAAAACAAGCATTGAAAAAGGCAGATTCATAGTGTCGAGAATAACTTTGCACGTATGACTACTGATTCCTGGTGCTAAGTGGTGGTATTCCTTTGTTGCTGGGTTCGACCATGGGTGCTGTACTAGAATAATCTCCAAAACAGCGACAACCATAGTTTCAACT